TCGAAAGTGTTACCTTGAGACGAAAAACTAGTGGGGCTCGTTGTTGTGTCGCTGTGTAGCTGTAACGTAAAACGAATTTTATTCCGACGAAATGCTTTCTACGAATTTTCCTCGACATGAAATGCAAATTGCAACAAAAAGTCGTGGCATCATTGCAGGTGTAGGTTGTGTCAATCTGCCAGGAAAATTTTGGAGGGTGGAATGGACCTATATGCAAGGGTGGGGGGGGGGGGCGGGAAGAGTACCTTTCGTCCTCCACAATTTTCCAATTTGGCGCATATCGACTCCGGGCACACTGGGTCTTGATTAGATTATATAAGTCCTATAACTCCTCTCAATAATCATGTTTCAAAATAGTGCTACACTTTCCTTCCATCACGTTTTGTAAAAAAAAAATTGGCAAGCCTTCAATACTTTTTGCTAGATTCCAGATAGATAATTCGGAAAGTGATAAACATTCTGTGTTCTTTAAAGGTAATTGTTTTTTATATTTAATTTAATTGCATTAATCTGAAAAACGTATAAGTTGAAAATGTATTCACAATTAGGCATCTTAACCCATTCATGGCTGAATTAAGAAGACGAATAACTCGAAATTTTTTAAGCGCTTTTTCTGTTGAACAGGCCTAGCTAAAGACGGAGCTGGCAAAGAAATTCAAATATTTATTCATACCTTCAAAAACGGAGTATGATAATTATAAGGATCATCAATAATTTGGGTGTTGATGCTTTTGTATAAGGAATCCTTTAGCCCTCTTCCTTCCTCCCCTCAATGATGAGGGGGGACTGTTGAAATTTCAGTTACCAGCTTCTCATGAAACCCAATACCCAAGGTTTTTAAAGCTAAATTCCTGTCTGTGGTGCAATTTCCTAAATGTTGGACCACCTGACATAGAATGACCCAAATTCATTCATGGAACTCTTTAACCAGTGGTGGATACAGCAATGATTAATGGGGGTGGGGGGGGGCTTCCCTGGTTCCAACCGCCCCCCCCCCCCCCCGGATCCGCCATTACCCTTCACCCCCTCCTTCAGAGTGTTGGATACATTCCTCCCTATCTTTTTTTTTTTAAACAAAAGCACCTTCGCATATGCCAGCGTAGTTGTCAGACTGAACAGCACGAATCTATTACCTGACGTTAAAACCAGGGCCGTCTTTGGGGAGACTGATTCTGACAGACACTTCTGGCACAATCTTAGCCTCTACAGTGCTTTCACAATGAGATCTCACACGTTCTAGAGCCATGGTGTCCAATACGTTCGCCACTCACCACATTTTACTGTGTATTTTACTGTCTTGATTGATGACGGTTTACAACCTCAAACCTACTTTCAAAAGATTGCGCATTCTTCTAATTAATATCGCATATATTTTGTATCATGTGGCGAATATGGTGACCTGACCGCCAAAAGTTAGGCAAGCATCGAAATCCTATTGGGCACCAATATAGAGGAACTGGTGTGACTGTGGTGTTTCAACTACCTTGTATTAGGACATCAACTAAATACTAGTTCGCATCGTACGTAAGGCTGGAAGTATCATTAGTCCGCTGCTGTTGGTAGGCCCATAGATAACTATGGTTTACATTTGAAGGATGCATTAACTCATCGCAAAAGCACCGTAAGAACGCCCAAATGTCGGTCTTCTAAGAGTATGGTTACCATATTTCGGATAGCCAAACTGAGGACGGATAGCAGTCGACGGAAATGTGAAGGCGAAAAAGGAGGATATGTCCAGGGAAAATATCCGAACGTGTGGTAACTCATAAGACGCCTCCTCCCGGACAGAAAGCGAAGAAAGAGGACATGTCCGGGAAAAACTGGACGTATGGTATGTTGGTATCCCCAAGAGGTTACACTGAAATCAACCTTCATGCGCAGAAAGGCTATAAGTCAAGAGAAAGTTTTCCACACAGACAGTGAATGATGCTCGCAATCAATATCCTGGTAATGAAAAAAAAGGGAATATAAAGAGAAAAGTAAGGAAGAGCTCCATAATGACATGCGATTTTCCTCATTCAAGGGGTCAGAGAAGGCACTCAGCATTCTAGACTCGGTGAGCCATGTGATGGGCACTATCGGATAAATGGGGAAGTGTCGAAGGAGGTCGGAGTCGCAAGCGGTGTCCCTCAAGGCGAGGTACGCGGACCGCTTCTGTTTTTGGTCTACATAAACGATATGGATCTCGGCGTTGAGGGTAAGACAAGCATATTTTTCGACGACACCAATATAGATTTCACCACAAGGGGGGAGGCGGATAGGACTGGAGCTGAGCGAGATTTAAGTCTTTTTAAAGAGTGGAGCAAGAAATGGCTCATGAGATTTAATAAAAGTAAGTGTAAACTTCTCCAGGTCGGACGAAACAACGGTAGGTCTCCAGACACGTTCGGCAATGATAAATTGGATGAGGCAAACGGAGGGAGAGATTTATGAGTTTTTATCGACCAGAACTTCAAGTTTTCCTCGCACGCGCAAGCGACGGTAGCCAAATGCAACAGGATTCTAGGTTATAGATACATTCGTCGGTCGGTTGCAAGTAGGACATCTCGCGTTATTCTTCCGTTTTATGCGGCGCTGATGAGACCCCAGTTGGAATACTCCATTCAGTTTTGGAGGCCTACAAATAAGGGCGATCTGTTGGCGCTCGAGGGATTACAGAGGAGCGCCACAATAATGATTAAGGAGGTCAGTGGACTATCATACGCGAAGCATTTAGAAGTGTTGGAACTCAACTCGTTCGAGCGAAGGTTAAGGAGGGGCGATCTCATCCAAGCTTTCAAGATAATCAGAGGAATAGATCATGTCGAGTGTGGTAGGTTTTTCCAGTTTGATGGCAAGAGAACGAGAGGTAACCAACTCAAGTTGCAACGGGATTCATTTAGAGAGTGAATGTTTCAATCAGTCAAAAAGCCAATAAAAGTTTGTTTTTTTGGTGTTTTCGTACCGCCCAAACCATATGGCAATTATATGCCACAGTTTTTGAATATTCTGTATCGAATGTTACGTTATAATGGCTCATAAAATAATTAAAATTAGAAACTGGCTCATGGTCAGTCTAAATGAATGCATTTACTGAAGGAAACATGTGACAAAATTTGCTTCTAATGCCGGCCAAAGGTGATCCCCATCTCGACTTAGAGAATTTGAGCTCCCACTTCCCAAATGCGTTTCAACGAGCCGTCGAATGGCATGCATGCACAACATTCCATTACATGGTGAAAATGGCACCACTTTCGCTATCTGACCCTTTTA